GAGCACAGAAGCATGCACAAAGAGAATCACACACGTAGGCACCCACGGAGACATGCAAATAGATACCCACGTAGACATACACACACGCGCAGACACACACGCAGACATGCAAGCACACATACAAGCACACACAGCCGCATATACAAGCAGACACACACACACACACACACCTCGAAGAACTGGCCGTTGTAGAGGTCCTCGAGGGAGACGGCGAGGTCAAGGACGACGTCTGCGCCCTTTGGCGTCTCCCGCTCCCGGCGTTGGTTCCCGCCAAATCCAAAGAACGAGCCCCCAAACATGCTGCAGCGACGAAACAGTGACGAGCAAGCGGGTGTGAGCAGCGAAAGGGTAGGCATTGTCGCGTCTGCTGTTGTGAGCAACACATTAAGTCAGCACACAGCTGGCGCACAGAAACAGCAAGCCACCAAGCCACAAAGCGAGTGGCATTTGCCAAAACGAAGGCACACAATCCGCACCTCGAGAACATATCAAACGGGTCATGTTGTTGGCCGGCAGCGTTCTTCAGGCCTTCCTCCCCATGCTTGTCATAAATCTTGCGCTTCTCCTCATCGGAGAGCACCTCATACGCAGCGCCAATGTCCTACGGAGCAACAACGAAACATGCGATCAGCAAACAGGCTTGCGGAAGCAGGGAAACGGCAATGCACGAGGCTCTCGCAAGACACACACACACACATGCATGGGCAGATGAATTAAAGTATGCACACTACCACACACGCACAAGCAAACAAACACCACCACAACCACAACCAATCACACACACACACACACACCTGGAACTTTTGTGCGGCTTCTTCGTTGTCTGGGTTCTTGTCGGGGTGGTATTGAATGGCGAGCTTGCGGTAGGCCTTCTTGATGTCGCGCTTGGACGCGGACCGCTTCACACCAAGGATCTTGTAGAAATCACGACTGTCCGCACGCGAAACAAGCAAAAATGAGAGAGAGAGTGTGTGTGTGTGTGTGTGTGTGTGAGGTGGGCATGCAGAGCGGACAACTGAGCATATCCAGTGCCAAGGGCGCGCGGTCTGCCCTATGCACATGCACACACGTGTGCACGCCACACCCATCACAGCACACACAGCACACACAGCACACACACAGCACACACATACGCGGAGCACAGCGCGTGCCCTGGCTTACTTACTCTGCGAGAGCCACTGCTGAGAGCAGCAACAAGCAGCACGCCACAACCAGCACCGCCTTCATCTTGTCTCTGTGTGTGACGTGTTCCTTTCCAAAAGCCAAAAATGACTTCAGCCGTAAGTCAATTTTGCCATTCAACAAACACAAACACCCACACTGCTGCCAAACAAATCAAGCAAAGAAAGAAAGCAACAAGCGAACGTTGTGTGTGGGTGATGACGATGCAGGCGACAGCACTGGGTGGTGCTGTGCGGGTTGCAGCTGATGGTGATTGGAGGCAGAGTCGTGCTCGGGTTGGCGACAGGCAGCAAGAAGAAGATCAGCAGATGGAGCACGCACACGACCACTATGGGCGCTACCGGCAGCGCGAGTCGCACACGCCAAAGACAAGAAGAAGGCCACGGCCCCAGCGACAACCGTGGTGGCAGGCGGCGTTGGGGATTGTTGCAGTGAGCTGGCTGTGCGTCGCCTGCGTCTTGCCTGTTTTCGCCTCTGTTGCCCATGCAGCAGCCACCACGGAGGGCACAACCGCGACAACGACCACCGCCAACACCACCACTACGACCATTGACAGCGAGCTTGTTTCCGAGGAGCAGCACGCCATCGACAGCCAAGTACTCTTGGTAAGCCACAGCAGAGGGGGCTGACGGTGAAGTGTGCATGTGTGTGTGTGTGTGTGTGTGTTTGTCTGTCTGCTTGCTTGTGTATGTGCGCCTGGGTGTGTCTGTGTTGGAGAAGGAAGCGGGAAGCTTTTTCCGAGTGCAGCAGCGTTGGCTGTGCTGTTCGGGAATCAACACAACATAAGGGTTTGTGATCTCACGCCCCATTTTCTTTGCACATGCACTGCACCCTTTATTGTAGCTGCTGATTCTGCTGCTCTTCTTGACCACACTCGTGATTTGGAGATTCAAAGTCAAGCGCTACCTCTTTCTCCACGAAACAGGCGTTTCCCTCATCATTGGTATTGACCACGAACTTCTTGTGCCCTGGCAGAACGCGTGATGTAATTACACACACAAATGCACATATGCGCACAATGCACACTCACTCACTCACTGTCACTCACTGTCACTCACACACTCACTCACTCACTGTCACTCACACACTCACTCACACACACACACACACTCACTCACTCACACACACACACACACACCCATCTCACGCGCGGCGTTGCAGGGTTGATCGCCGGCTTTCTGCTGGACCTTGCCACCAAGTCAAACCAGCCCGGTCATTCGCATGACGCGCTGTGCAACCGAGACGCACAGCCGTCCACGCCCATGCAACCCAAAGTGGAGACCGTCGAAGACGAAGTAACAGCACAACCCGCATCACACACACGGACAGACACGCGAAAGCATACACAACACAAGCACACGCACGCACGCACGCACAGGCAGTTACACACACAAACAAGGGACGCGCACACGCACTCGCTCTCCGTCCACCACATGCACTCGCTCGCATCCGCTCACATGCGCACTGGTCACCACCGCGCCCATGTTTGCGTCTCGTTTTCGATTTCCATCGCGATGACAGGCGGTGTTTGACCCCGAAGTGTTCTTCTACGTTCTCCTGCCACCAATCATCTTCTTTGCAGGCTACGACCTCAAACAGGCGTGTACATGTGGATGTGTGTGTGCGTGTGTGGATGTGTGCGCGCGTGTGTATGTGCGTGCGCGCGTACGTGTTGCTTGCGCGTCACAGTGTTGACAGCTTCACGAAGAGATTCTGACGCCGCCCATGCTGCTGTCGTCGTCGTTGCTATTGCTTACAGAAACACTTTTTCCGCAACTTGGGCGTGATTCTGCTGTTCACCTTCATCGGCACGACCATCGTCTGCTTTGTCACCGGGTACAATGACTGCAGCTGCACTCACGAAAGGGGCATTCAACACACACGCGTGCACGCACCAACAACATTATGCTTTCATGCACACAATTACACAACTGCAAACACAGACATGGAACGTCGAAAACACACATTGTACATCCGCGGTCACATTCATGTCTCACGTTGCTGCTGCTGCTGCTGCTGCTGCTGCTGCTGCGTGCGTGCGTGCGCGCGTGTGTGTGTGTGTGTACGTGTGTGTGTGTGTGTGTGCGTGTGTGTATGACAGGGCGTTAGTGCTGTTCTACTCCAAGTACATCGCCACCACGCCGCTCACCACAAACGACTGCTTCCTCTTTGGCGCCATCATCTCCGCCACAGACCCTGGTGTGCGCTTTGAAGCTCTGTGTGGACGCGTGGGTTTCGTTGCTGTGTTTGTTGCTGTGTCTGTGTGTGAGTGCTTTGCTCCGGGTATATGCATCACATCTCTCACCCTTCCCCTCCACCGTCCCATATCCACCTTCTCCCTTCCTCCACCTCCGCTGCGTACAGTGACGGTGCTGGCGATCTTCCACGATCTACACGTGGACAACCGGCTGTATGCGATGGTGTTTGGCGAGAGTGTACTCAACGACGCCGTCGCCATCGTCCTTTTCAGGTGCGCACACGCAGCGCTTGGCGTTGCGTCATTACGTGTTGCTCGCACCCGTACATCACCACGCAACTCACTACACTGGGCACTAACGTGTTTTCCGCACATCATTCACAATCCACAATCCACAATCCACAATCCACGACACACGACACACGGCACGGTATCCCTCAGATCCATTGGGGAATACAAACCCGAGCTGAACAACGAGCTCACAGTTGGAAGCTTCTTCTACTCCGTTTGGGTCTTTCTGGTGTGTGGTCACAGCGCATGCACGTAAATGTGTACAGTCGCAAGCATTGCCCTGTCCTGCTCAACTATTCAACCTCATCCATTTTAACGCCCACACCACACTTGCACACACACACGCGCACACCACACTTGCACACACACACACACACACTATCTCACTCACTCTCACACACACAATCTCACCTCGCACTGCTGCACGCGCGCGGTGCGTGCGCATACGCAGCTGATCTTCTTTGGATCGCTGGCGTGCGGCATGGTGCTGGCCATGGCCTCGTCCATCCTCTTCAAGTACAGCGGCATCAAGGTCGGTTGCACGCACACACACATCCTCTCACAACAGCCACAATGCTCTGTGCTTTTGCACACATGTGATATTCATTTCCTCCGACCTCATACACACAAATACACACACACAAACACAGCGCTACCCACTGCTGGAGACGGCGCTCTTTGTTATGCTGTCGTACACGGCGTTCCTGATGGGCGAAGGGTTTGGTCTCTCCGGCATTGTCAGCATCCTCTTTTGCGGCATTGGACAGGTGTGTGTGTGTGTGTGTGTGTGTGTGTGTGTGTGTGTGTGTGTGTGTGTGTGTGTGTGTGTGCGCGCGTGCGTCAAGCGCAGCTGCCGTGTTGTGCTGTGTGATGATGATGTTGTGGTCTTGCAGCGTATTTGGTTGACGGCGGTGTCTCGTGTACGGACTGCCTTCCATGCCCAACAGCAACGTGCGTTGGGGGATGTTTTATAGCGCTCACGTTGCAACTGCAACACCGCCTTGCATCAACGCCCCCAACACCACCACAACTGCAGGCGCACTACACGTTCCCGTGCTTGAGCGACGAGTCCAAGCAACGCACCGTCAACGTGTTTCAGCTGCTCAACTTTCTTGCCGAGAATTTCGTGTTTGCATACGTCGGCCTCAACTTCTTCACCTTCAAGGTAATCGTCGCACCGCCCGCGCTGGCGTGTGTGTGTGTGTGTGTGTGTGTGTGTGTGTGTGTGTGTGTGTGTGTGTGTGTGTGTGTGTGTGTGTGTGTGTGTGTGTGACTGCATGCTGGTGTGCTTCATGTCGCTCTCGAGAGCGTGCGATTGATGTGCACTTTTTCCAAGCAAGTGTGGGTGTTCTCACAAAGGCACGCAAACGTTTGTGCCTCGCTGCTGGTGCAGTGCCACAAGTGGAACGCGGGGTTCATTGCGTGGGCCGTCTTTGCTGTTCTCGCCTCCCGTCTCCTCCACGTGTTTCCCCTCTCATGGGTCGCCAACAAGGTGTGCATGTGTGTGTGTGTGTGTGTGTGTGTGTGTGTGTGTCCATACCCCCGTGTAGCATTTTTGTCTGTCTGCGCATGTGTTTGTGTGATGTTTCTCGCCAATTATACAGCTACTGGCATGCGTGTTCATTCAACATCACCTCATACCCAAAATGCCCACTTGCCACACGCCTGCGCTGACAGCTGCGGCGCAAGGCGAGCCAGAAGATCCCGTTCAACTTCCAGGCGATGCTGTGGTGGGCCGGTCTTCGTGGCGCCGTCGCCGTCGCGCTCGCCATGCAGAACACAAGCAGCGCTGCACACCAGGTGGGCGTTTGTGTGGGTGGGTGTCTGTGTGTCTGAGTGTTTGTTTGTGACTGTCTGTCTGTGTCCGCCTGGCTGTCTGTCTCTGGCTGTGCTTTGTTATGTGCGTCTACCACGAATGTTGAATGTGATGCTACGTTGTTGCAAGCATGCCATCAAAGTGAGATGTGCCACTCAACTGTTGCCTGTCTTCTATTGCGCTCGCCTTGATGGGTGATGCAGACGATTCTGTCGACAACGCTGGTGATTGTGCTCATCACGGTCCTCGTTTTGGGTGGCTCATCAGAGGCCGTCCTTAGGGCTCTCAAAGTCCCGTACGTCACTCACTCACTCACTCTCACTCACTCACTCACTCACTCACTCACTCGCATGTGCGTTGTTATGTACAACATTGCTCGCGCATACGGTATCCTTCGTCCCACCCTCGCCTCACAATCACTTCCCTTTTTCCATTTCTGTTCGTCTTCGTGCGCCCACGTTCCCCTCTTCCCTTTTCCTCGTGAAGCATGCACGTGGCTGATAGTTCGAGCTCAGACGCACAATCGCCACCACGCCAAAGCAAGCCCATCAAGGGCTGGCTTGCCGCGGCGTGGCAGGGCATCGATGGCAAGTACATCCGCCCAGTCCTCTCCGTTGCACCATCCAATATGGAAGGCACCAGGAACTGGTCTGAAGTCAAGGCCACTGTCGCAGATTTCTTTGCCGGAAGATCCAACCAACTGCGGGAGCTCTCGTACGTGTGGCTGTCTGTCTGTGTGCTGTGTGTGTGTGTGTGTGTGTGTGTGTGTGTGTGTGTGTGTGCGTGTGTGTGCGTGTGTGTGCGTCTGTGTGTGTGTGTGTGTGTGCATCTGTGTGTCTGCTTCTCTGCCTGGTTCTGCTTATTTGTCCGTCTTCCCGCACATCCGTATGCATTTCGCTCTTTCCCTCTCAATATGCCTTGCTCTCTTCTGCACTTTCCACCACCACCTCCACCATCTTCACGTCCCCCTCCGCCTCCCCTCACCCTACGCACGCCTGTGCTCGCTGCCGTCTGCGCCGCGTGTTGTCCCTGTGAAGCAGTTCGCCCGTTCTTGAGATGGAGAGGGGCGAGGACTACGATGACGATGGTGGTGCTGGTGACGACTCATCACTCGACGGGTACAATCCAGAACTGCCGCCGCAAGACGGCGATGTGGGCGCCCTGTCCGGTGACTTTACGTCATTTGCAACGTGGCACGACAATCTATCGGATGAAAAGTCCACAACATCAACAGCCTAAGGCGTGCTTCGTTTGTTCTCCTCCTCCGTTCCAGGCCGCCGCTCGTTTCTGTGTGTGTGTGTCTGTGTGTGTCTGTGTGTATGTGTGTTTTTGCATGTGTATGTGTGTGTGTGTGTTGTGAAGACACGTGCCTCTGCTATGGCGTTGTGCTCGCACGCTCGCTCAATTAATTTCGGCTCCATTAGGTTGTCTGTTGTCTGTGGTTTGTTGTCGTTCGTTCATTTATCTGTCTGTGTCGCGCCTGCAAAGACATGCACGTTTACCCCTTTTGGGTTTCTGTTCCATAGCACCAACAATAACAAACGCCAGCACTCACAAAATCGAACAAAGACAACAGACAGGGCTGTGTCTCGATTCCACAATGCAAGGAGCAAGCCAATCATTTCACACACGGGTTCAACCAACAAGCGTTCACACCAAACCAAAACAAGAGGTTCTGTATGCGGGTGTGCGGGTGTTTTGCGGCCGCTTGCAATTGCCATGGCCACTCCGCACACACGCAACAGCAGCGTCTCGCGTTGCCTCGCTCCTCCTCCCAAACTACCGTCACCACCAGCAGTGCCGCCGTCGTGTTACGAAAATGCAATCGGGGATGCTGGGATGAGGGGCTGGCGGCGGGCGTTGGAGTTTGTCATCTCGCCAAGCGGGCGGCGGTGCTTCTGCACCACAACGGAGCAGCAGAAGCAGTCGTGTGAGAAATGTCGTGAATGCAATCGCACGTGGACGACGACATGTTGAATGCGATTGGTGTGATGCACAGGTGTGTGAAACAAACAAACAAACAAACAAACAAACAAACAAACAAACAAATCACTGTTGCGGTTCTCACCTTCTGCGAAGCTGTGGCTGGGGTGGCTGCATCAGAGAACACATTGAGGGTCGCACGCTTGGGCGTCTGCGCCACACCCTCGCCCTGTGCATACGATGACGTGTCTGGGTTGAGGAACTTGTGCTGCAACAGCTGCTCAACGGTTGGTCGCTGCCGTGGGTCACGCTGCAAGCATGCCTTCATCAGCGACATCAGCGCCTGGTTTGCCACGGGCTTGTAGCGAATCTCGTAGCTCGAGTCGGGGATCTTGGTCAGTTTCTACATGCGCAATATGATGGCACACAACGGCATTGTCTTGACACATGAGCAGGCGTGATATTGAACATGGAATCACAACCAAGCCAGCTCGTTGTTTGAAATACCGCGACTTACAGACAGACACACGAATACATGCACACACGAGTACATGCCATGCGCGCATCAACGAATTAACACACTCAAGCACAAACTCACAATAACGCATGTACACACGCTCACACATGCTCTCACAACCACGTCCACACACACACACAGGCACATCACGTGAGCGCACGCACACAGCACAATTATTCGCGCACCTCGTAGAGACCAAGGTCCTGGAAAGGTGTCTTGCCATATACCATGAGATAGGCAATGCACCCGAGCGACCATACATCACTGGCGGGCCCAACTCGCAATCGCCTGCGTGCGGTGTCGCCTCCTCGCTCTTCCGCTTTGATGGCTTCTGGTGACATGTAGTTGAGGGTGCCGATTTGCGAGTCGCGAATCACGCTCGTGTGTCCATCCTGTGTCCACCAGTAGCATGATGTGTAGGTGGTGTCATGTGAGAAGCAGCGAAACAACACGACGACAGCCTGTCCCACACATGTGCACGTGCACACACAAATGCACACACGCACACAAATGCACACACGCACACAAATGCACACACGCACACAAATGCACACACGCACACAAATGCACACACGCACACAAATGCACACACACACACAAATGCACACACACACACACACAAATGCACACACACCATCCGCGCATCTCACCTCAATGCCGCTGGCAATGCCAAAGTCGATGAGTTTGAGGTTGCCCTTGACAGAGAGAAAGTTTGCTGGCTTCAGGTCGCCGTGTACGATGTTGTACTTGTGGATGCAGGCAACAGCTTCCAGCATCTGCTGCATGTACAGGCGCAGGTGGTTCTCGTCGATGCAAGGGTACTTGGGTGCGCTCGCGCTGCGGTTCCGGTGCAAGTCCTGCAAGATGCGCGCAAGATCGACGTCGCCACACTCCATGACCATGCGAAACGCCATGGTTTCCTCGTCCATCTCAGCGGCAAACAACTTGATGATGCGTGGCTCGCCTTGCAGCTGCATTAGCAAGTGCTGTTCGTTCAGGAACGATGCGCGCGTGGCGGCGTCCTGGTTGCGAAGGTCAACCTCCTTCAGCGCGCGAATCTTGCGCTCGGGATCAAGCACGCGGAACACAAATCCAGACCCGCCCTTGCCTATCTTGTCCAGCTTGATGTACGGCACGCCGCTGACAATATAGTCACCGCTGCCGCCGCCGCCGCCAACAGCGCTCGTGTGGTGCTGCTCGCGCCGGTGGTGCTGCCGATGGTGGTGGTGATGGTGGTCATGGTGATGATGTTGCGCGTGCGGATGCTCGTGGTGGTCGTGGGGATGGTCGTGATGTGGCTGGTGAAGTTGTGGCGTCAGCGACGGTGCCACGCCCTGCTGGTGCTGCAACTGCTGGTGCTGTGGCTGCTGCTGGCTGCTGACACCTCCCCGCGGATCGCGCCTCTCTCCGAGCGGCTGCCGTGTGCGGGGGTGAAGTGGTGAAGGTGACACTGCGCCAGACGCATGCCTCAGCCCGCCCCTCGTGCTCGCGCCAAAACCACCACGACCTCCTGACTGCTGGATGGCTGGAGGCGCCAGGCCCTGGCGTTCGCGTGGAGTCGTGAGCTGATGGCGCAAGCCACGACGCCTCACACCCTCATCCGACACAGCAGAATTGTGCAGTTGCTGCAGTGGTGCACGCTGGTGCACGTCTCTGTACGGGGTGAGCAGCTGCTGTGCTTGTGGCTGCTGCTGCTGTCCTTGTTGTCCTTGTTGTCCTTGTTGTCCTTGTTGTCCTTGTTGTGCATGACGGGCTGCTTGCATTCTGCTTGGGCGGAAATACGAGACCTGTTTTGGCGGCGGCTGTTGTTGCTGAAAGGGGGTGGATGAAGCGTGCTTGGGTGTGACTGATGCAAGCGGCTGTCTCTGTGTTAATTGCTGCTGCCGCTGCGTGATGGACCGTGGTGTCTGTGATGCAACACAGGACAAGTTGTCGTCAGCGGATACGTTGCTTGCATACGATGACGACGACGAAGACGACGAAGAGGAAGCAGCCGATGTGGTCGACGACACTGAAGCGATGCTTGATGTCGTTGCTGACGATGATGACGCGTTGGAGGCGAATGATGCAGTGCATGCAGCAGAGAGAATGCCAGACTGTGTGCTGCCGCCAGAAGCCGTTGAGCTCGTGTGCGAGAAGCGCGACACGCTGGTGGAGAGAAAGTCTGTGTTTGTGTTTGTGTTTGTGTTGCCTGTGGTTGTGTTGCCTGTGGTTGTTCTTGTGCGGGCACCTGGGTAGAAGGAGCTTGTTCCTCGCGTGTCCATGGCTTGGTCAGACACGTCCTCGTCCTCCTCCATCTCTTTGCTTTCCTGCCACTGCTGCTGCTGCTGCTGCTGCTGCTCGTGTTCTGCGTCGGAGAACACCGAGATGAGGGCACGGCGGTTGTTTGGGGAGACACCGCGCGCATATGGCGACCGACCCTGCAGGGCAGCGAGACGTGGATGCTGTGGTGTGCGTCGCGCTGCTGGGAGCGGAGACAAGGTGGCGGATGCTGTTTGCGCTGCTGACAAGTGTTGCTGGTGTGGCTGCAAGCCCTTGCGAGGGTTTCCCTGCAACGCAGCACCACGCTCAGCCGATGTGCTGATGTTGAGTTGATTATCGCTGTGACTGTGGCGGCCGTCACCTGAGTGATTGTCCTGCAGTGCGTCATCTTCCACCTCGATATCCACCTCGGGCAGGGGTTCGAGGGCAGGCGATGCTGTGTTGCTTCCGCCGCGCACGTCACTACTGCAGAAGGAGGCGTGGGCAGACTGCGCCGTGTGGTGGCGCAGCTGCATGGGTGGAGCGAGCGGACTGGTGGGCTGGCTCGCGCTCGATGTGCTGAGATGCGGGCTCGTAATAAGAGATGCTGCCTTGGCGCTGCGCCCCGTCTCCATCTCGTACTCTGCAATGGCCATGCTGAGGATGGATGATGCCTTCTTTGCACGCGGGCGAGGGCGCGTTGTGCCCGCGGGCCGGGACGGGAACGGCGTCATGTTCTGCTGCTCTGACGCAAACGCTGGCGGCGCTGCTGGCGTGACAAGCTTGTCGTGTTGTGTGTCCATCGTGGTGCTTGCCTTGGCGGGGGTTTCAAATGAGCGCCGTGCTGGCCGCTGCGAGCGATCTGCATGGTGCGTGACCAAAGCATAACGAGGCGTAGTGTTGAGTAAATTCATTGAACGAACGTGTGTTTCATGGGGGAGGGTGTGGAGTGTTTAATTTTTGTGAGTGAGCGCGCGGTGGGTGTGTGTGTGTGTGTGTGTGTGTGTGTGTGTGTGTGTGTGTGTGTGTGTGTGTGTGTGTGTGTGTGTGTGTGTGTGTGTGTGTGTGAGTGAGTGAGTGAGTGAGTGAGTGTGTGATTGCTACCTTCTGCAGAAGTGAGGTATGCCTGAAAGTTGTTCTCCCACTGTTGTTCTTCCTCGCTCATTGCAGGGAGAGAAGCAGCCTGCTGTTGCAGTTCAGAAGCCTTTCGGCTGTTGCCTGTGTGCGCACATAGTGGCAGTGTTAGTTGTGTGTGTAAGTGAGTGCGAGTGTGTGTGTGTGTGTGTGTGTGTATGTATGTATGAGTGAGAGAGCTCGAAGGCAGGAAGCATGTTGCAGTGATTTGAAGCAGGTGCGGGGGGGGGGAGAGCCTCTCACCTCGCTGTGCCTCAAACTGCGCCCGAACGAGAAAAAAGTTCTGGAACGCCTTGCCGATGCCCTGTCAACGAAAGAAAACGCATGGATGGGTGTGAGAGTTCGCGAGGTGCCAGTTCAGCGCGTGTTGAAGCAACGCTGTGTAAGGGACACTGTTGAAAATGTGAAAAGGAAAGCTTGGCATTGTGATGGTCGTACCGAAGACTTCATAAACTGGAATGTGTGCTTGCATTCATCGTCTGACTTGAGCAACCTATGAAGAGCAAGATGCGTGGATGAATACGTGTACGTTGGTGATGTCAGTAATCAAGCACTGAAATCAGACGGTGCCAATGCACACGCGCACGTTCTGACTGCATCAAGAGCGAACACGCACACATACACACACGCAGACACATTGGCACACACTCACTTCTCACACACCCTTACTCATTGACACAAACACACACACACTGGCACACACTCACTTCTCACACACCCTTACTCACTGACAACCGCACATGAATACACGCAATTGCAACTCGTAGTACACGTATGTCGCAAGTATTGTCACGGACCTGAGAAGGCGTGCATACTCGAGCCAGAGCTGGATGTAGACGGTTGTTCGCTTGCACTTGGAGAGGGGAAGCGCCGCTGTTGCGCGCTGATACATGGCCAGGACGTGTCGTGTGGAGACATCGGCACGCTGGCGTTCCTCAGCGATGATGGTGTGCCAAGCATCTGCGACAAACACGCCTTGCTCAACGAGCTCGTCAACTCTGGCCACTGCGCTCTCCACAACCTGTGCTGCGACCACTGCAGATGTGTTTCGTTTCGCCTGTGAATGGGTGAGCGTGCATATGTGTGTGTGCGTGCACGATTGGATGAGTTTTCACGTGTGTACGTGTGTGTGCGCGTGTGTGAAATCTGTGTGCGTGCGTCGTGAGCATGCACGTCCCAAGTTGATGTACAAAATCCCGGTGCTGTGATCAGCCACAAGTACTTTCTCACTACACAACAGACCTGCTGCTGTTGCTGTTGTGTGCTGCAGCTTTCATCTTCGGGTGTAGGTGTGTCGCTGCTGTCATTGTTGCTGAGCCCTGTTGATTGTTCCCAGTTCTTGAGTGTGCTCAGCAATGTGCCCAGCTTTGTTGCCGAGCTCCGTCGAACACCATCAGCCATTCTGAAGGTGTTCTTTGCCTCTCTGCGTGCGTGTGTGTGTGTGTGTGTGTGTGTGTGTGTGTGTGTGTGTGTGTGTGTGTGTGTGTGTGTGTGTGTGTGTGTGTGTGTGTGTGTGTGTGTGTGTGTGTGTGTGTGTGTTAGTGTGTGTGTGGCGCACGCAGACGACTGACAGACAAACAAAAAGCGATGGCGAGACTGACGCTTTTCAAATTTCGCGCGCCAGTGTTGTGGCAACGAAGTCAGCCTTCTTCCGTAATTTGTGATATCTTTCAAAATATTTCTGTACCCGACACGCCCTCTTCCTTCCTTCTGTGCCAAATTTTTTTTTTCTCTGCTGGCTGGCTGTCGCGGCATCTCTCCACACCACAACCCTATCGCCATCAACATCAACAGCAACATCAACAGCGCCCACACCCAGCCGCACCCCCTCCCCCCAAATCACGTCAGCAGCAGCAGCAGCAGCAAAACCAAACAAACGAAGCCTTCTTCACTTGCTTGCCCGTCGCTGTTGTTGTCTGCCTCTGCGTCTGTGTGCTTTGATTGTCCGTCGCAACCTCAGGCCTGTCCGCCTGTCGTTTGTTCGTACGAGAGAGAGAGAGAGCGCGCGGGATCAGCGTCGTAGCTTGTGTGCTTCATCGAGTGATTGAGTGCCAGTCAGTTTGCCAGCATGTCGGTGAGTGCTGCCGCTTGGGCGTGATACGTGTGCATGTCCTTGTATAACTTGTACACATACACGCACAGTTGCAGCCGTGTGCGATTGTGTGTGTGTGTGTGTGTTCGTGCTTTGTGAGTGTGTCTGTGTCTGTGTGTCTGTCTGTCTGTGTGTCTGTGTGTCTGTGTGTCTGTGTGTCTGTGTGTGTGCCCCAAGCCACACGTACAGCGAAGAACACTTGGCACACGCCGCGTTTGGTGTTGACCTTGCTCATCCTCGGTCTGTTTTGCTGTGTTCTCAATAGTCCATCGACCCTGAAGAGCTCTTCACAACCTTGGATCGGGTTGGCAAAGGATCCTTTGGCGAAGTGTTCAAAGGGTACGTACGCAAAAGACAGGCCTGCCGTGGCATCGCTGCGCGTTTACAGTGGGGGTGCACCCTTCATCCGTGCCAGAACTCTTCTCACATCCTTCATCTTGCACACTGGGTTGACGTCCGTAACTTTTTGCATTCGTGTGCGCCTATCTGTGGCTGTGTGTGTGTGTGTGTGTGTGTGTGTGTGTGTGTGTGTGTGTCTGCGTGTCTGTGTGTGGTTGTAACAACAGCATCAACCGCAAGACAAAACAAGTGGTTGCCATCAAGTTGATTGACCTGGAAGAGGCAGAGGATGAGATTGAGGATATCCAGCAGGAGATGTCCGTCCTTGCAGAGGTGCGTTGTGTGTCTGTGTCTGCGCCTGCGTATCTGTCTGTTTGTGTGTGTGTGTGTGTGTGTGCGTGTGTGTTTGTGTGTGAGGGAGTGTCTGTCTGTCTGTCTGTCTGTGTCTGTCTGTCTGTGTCTGTCTGTCTGTCTGTCCGTCTGTCTGTCTCCCTGCTTGCCTGCGTTTGTCGTTGTGCAACTCGGCCAATTACATGTGAACTGACATGCCAGCTGTGCTGTTTGTTTGCTCACACCAATACCATCTTGTGACCTAAAGTGCGACAGCAAGTTCGTGACAAAGTACTACGGCTCATATCTCAAAGGCACAAAGCTGTGGATCATTCAAGAATTCCTCTCTGGCGGCTCAGCACTTGATCTGGTCAGCCAGTGTGTTTATCTCTGTGTGTGTGTCTGTGTGTGTGTCTGTGTGTGTGTCTGTGTGTGTGTCTGTGTTTGTGTGTGTGTGTGTATGCCGGCCATGTTGTCAGGAACGGACACGAGGGACATTGTCACCACACTTCATCTCACTTACTTCACCCCACTTCACTTGCACATGCACACGTATCACCCCACTCACCCCTCTATCCATCATTTCACGCGTCCTCGCGCAGATGAAGGCGGGGCCTTGCGACGAAACAAGCATTGCCGTCATCTTGCGGGAGGTGTTGCATGGCCTCGACTACCTCCATGGCGAAGGCATCATTCATCGTGATATCAAAGGTCAGTGGGCTGTGTGTGTGCGCGTGTGTGTGCGTGTGTGTGTGTGTGTGTGTGTGTGTGTGTGTGTGTGTGTGTGTGTGTGTGTGTGTGTGTGTGTGTGTGTGTGTGCGCGCGCGTGAGCAAGTAAGGGAGTCGTGTCACTTCACGGTTTACCGCGCCACCTCATCCACCCACCAATCTGTTTGCTGTTTGCTGTTTGCAGCTGCCAACATCCTCCTCGCCGACAATGGCGAAGTGAAGCTGGCTGATTTTGGTGTTGCAGGAAAGGTGGGTCCTCATGTATTCGTGTATCTGAGTGTGTGTGTGAGAGAGAGAGAGTGGATGGGTGTGTGTGTGTGTGTGTGTGTGTGTGTGTGCGCGCGCTCGCGCTCGCGCTTATTAGTCGTGCAGATACATGCGCAACCTCAGACAACGCATTACATTAATCCGCGTGGTTCCTGCCTCGTCCCACACTTTCCAGTTGACAACTACGACCAACAAGCGGTCCACATTCGTGGGCACGCCCTTCTGGATGGCGCCAGAGGTTATCAAACAGAGCGCATATGACGAAAAGGTGCGCACATATATATCCATGTACCGGCGTTTGTCTGTGTGTGCGCGCACGTATGTGTGTGTGTGTCTGTAGGTTTGTGTCTGTCTGTCCGTCTGTCTGTAGGTGTGTAGGTGTGCCTGCTTTAACTCTTGCATGCTCTATTTTATTATTATTGTTTGTTGTGTGTGTCTGCTTGTGCGCACGCAATACCGTGCAGCCCGTGGTTGGTGTTGCATCTTCACGTGCAGCCCTGCATGCCTGCATTGCCCTCACCAAACAACTGTGCGCTTCCATTTCCCGCGTGACGCCAGGCGGACATCTGGTCCCTGGGCATCACCGCCATCGAGCTGGCCAAGGGCGAGCCGCCAAATTCAAACCTCCACCCCATGCGCGTCCTCTTCCTCATCCCAAAGGTACAGTGCACAGTCACACACGAACGCAGCATACATCCATTGCACAGTGCATGTGCGTGGGGTTGCACAAATTGCTCCCTGGGTTGGCAGTCCCCCTGTTGCGTCTACGACACGCTTGCAATACAGTACGCTTTCACACACACACACACACACACACACACACACACACACACACTCTCTCTCTCTCTCTCTCTCTCTCTCTCTCTCTCTCTCTCACACACACACACACACACACTGGCTTGTGTATGTTCATGCGCGCTGTCTCCCTGTACAGAGCCCGCCACCACAGCTGGAGGGCAGCTTCAAGCCGTCGCTGGTTGACTTTGTCAACATCTGCCTCAACAAAGAAGCCGCAAACGTGAGTCGTCATTTCGTGCGTAACGCAATCACACATAATCACGTGCACACACACATACACACACACACACCTCAACCGCCTACCACTACAAGGCACTGACTTCATTCTTTCTCACTCTCTCCTTCACCTCCATCCCACTGTCTTCCGCCATGCAATCCGCAGCGCCCGACGGCGAAGCAGCTGCTGAAGCACAAGTTTGTGAGCAAGGCGAAGAAGCCGTCGTACCTGATTGATCTGATTGAGCGCTACCGCAAGTGGAAGGAGAACGGCGGCAAGGCAGACTCGGATTCAGACGACGACTCAGACAGCGACAACGACAGGTATGCAATAGCGTGAATGTGTGTGTGTGTGTGTGTACGTGTGTGTGTGTGTACGTGTGTGGATGCTGAACACGTGGATTGTGCACTGTTCAGTGCTGGAAGTTTGAGTATTGGCTGACAAGACTGTCTCATGTGTGGTGTGTTTTGTTCTTGTGTTTTGTGCTGCACCCATTGTAGGGATGACACAGAGATGGAGGACTTCGAGTGGGAGTTTGGTACGATCAAGACGGCACCCTCGGGCCTCGATTCATCTGGCAACCCTGTGCGTACACGCGCACACACACACATACGCTTGCACGCACGCATGCACACACACACACATGTACACACTCTATCAACTCTTTGTTGTGGTGTGTGGGTGTCTCGCGTGGCTGCATCTTGCAACGGCGCAAAATTCCCTCGCTCACTTGCATGCGCTTTTGCTCTGTGTGACTGACTCAGGATGAGAGCCAACAAAGTGTACTGCAAGGCACGTTGCTGGAGTCGCTGAAGGAGGTGAGCACCACTTGCGCTCTCCATGGCCGTGTATGTACATGCGTGCGCGCGCACCTGAATGACACCACACGTGGATGTGTGTTTCTACACGTGGATGTCAGTTCACTGTTTTTGTCTGTTTGTCTAACTCGCTTACACGCTGTCGCCGCCGCCACGACGACAGATCAAGGCCAAGTTTGAGTCGGACGAACATAAGGACTACACATCCTCCAACCTCTCCGCCATCGACGAGCTCATGAAGGCCTTTGAGCTCGCAGAGGTGCGTGTGTGTGTGTGTGTGTGTGTGTGTGTGTGTGCGTGTGTGTGTGTGTGCGTGTCTGCCTGTCTCAGAATGCCGTTGTATGCAGACATGTGTGGTCTGGGCTTGTGGGCGTGGAATTGCGCATGCATGTCAACTCATCGCTCGCCTTGCTTTTTCGTTCATTCTGCTCGCTTGCATGACTGTGCTTTAGACGTCCAATCCTGGCTTCTCAGACACATTTGTGACGGAAGTCTGCAACACCGTTGCAAGGTATGCTTGTGTGTGTGTGTGTGTGTGTGTGCGTGTGCGTTGTGTGTGTGTGTGTGTGTGTGTGTGTGTGTGTGTGTGTGTGTGTGTGTGTGTGTGTG